ACACACATGTTCACACTCTGATAGTAGGAAGCCACTTGATATTGGCCACAGCTGCCCTGGGACACACTGACAGAGGCGCGGCTGCTTGTTGGTGCCTCTGACCTCCAGCAGTGGCCAGTGAAGTGTCCCTGCCCAGGACAACAAAGCGGGAATCTAACCAGGGGCAAGCGCCGACCATCTTCGCCGCTGTCGTCAATATGGTCTGATAAAGAAAGCCATTTTCCAAAGAAAGCCATAAAAATCTACTTTAACGATTTTTCACAAGTGAAGCATGGGAGTTGGAGTTTCATACTATAACAGCGACAAAGATATTGATTCAGAGTTCAAGTGAGATATGGGATAACCCTGTACAAAAAATGATTGCGGCTCTGACAGACTTGAGATTGGGATGGAGTTTTGCTTTGTAACTGGAGATCAACCCAAGTCAAAGTCATGAAGTCAAAGTGCTTTAGAATTATCTTAAAATGGTCGAGACAAAGTCTGACCTAAACCCAAATGAGTATCTGTGGCAAGACTTAAAAAATGTTCAACTATACTCTACATATGTTTAGTTTTGGCAAGGCATTGTAGAGAAAAGTCCATTTACAGGCCCAGCAAAAAGCGACAAAACACAAAAAGACTTGCAGCTGTAATAACAGTGATAGGTCTCATTATAAAGTATTGACAGACGGAGCTGAATATATTTGCAAGTCACTCTTGATTGTATTTTTTTTTTTTAAGTGAAAACTATCTCCGTCCCTTACAATTAATTGCTTCTTTGTGTTGGTACATCAGATCAAATTCAAATGAAAACACAGAACGCTGTGCATGTCACATGACAAAATATGAAGAGATGAATAATCTTGTGAAGCACTGTTACACAGAAACACCATCAGACTCTCATTATCACCCCAGTACAAATACTGGAGTTTGTTTACAACTTGGCTTCCTGTAATGATCCTGCTGTGCACTCTGCTAAGCACTAAATTATTCATGTCCAATCTAAAATATATAGAGATGTAAGTGACTGAAGGTATAAAAAAGGAGCCGTGGAGTCAAGCCAAACCAAGACATTCTCCTGGAGTGAGTTAAAGCATATTTTGTAATTTCAAAAGAAAATGCAAATGAAACCTATCAGGTTCACTTGCTGTGAAGCGGTGCTGTGCCTCTTGGATAAAAAAATAATATATATATATATATATTTAAAAAAAAATAAAAATATAAATACTGGGTTGTTTTTCCTGGGGTACGGACTACCAAGGCTATTCCTGCTGGATAAGTGGTAGCTCAGCTTTGCCTTTGATAGATTTTTACCCATGAAATGTTATTAATACGAGATAAGAAACTCTTGGTATACTCATTTATTTAGAGTTTAGAATCTCAGGCTGTGAGCCTGACATTCAGTGTTGATGTTTGGATATTTGTTGAAACTAAAATAGTATTTTCTTCTTCTTCTCTCTTTTTTTTTTTTTTTTCATGGTCAGACCCACTTTCTGTTTTCACTTAGCCAAACGCTGTATCTGTATTCCCTGTCTTGGGAAGTGAAATAGAACAGCATGTGCTGTAAACTTTAAGGGGTATATTATAATTTAAAAAGGACTGCAGCATTGCCAGGAACAGATAAAAGGAGAGCCGCTTGATAGGTGTGTGGGATGTGGACTTACTTTCATGTAAATACTGTCAGTGCGGTGACAACTGGAACAAAGCGCTGATGTATTCTTTGACATGTATTTTATTTTTTTTTTCAGACGGAGGTAGTCAGAGATATAAACTTAAGTTAAAATGAGTGGACATGCCCTAAATAGGAACAAGTTGTACTTTTTTTTTCTTCTTGGTGTTATTCCAATTAAATAATGCATAATGAAATGCAAAGGAAATGTGCCAAAACATCAAACAGGATGTTACTGTTCCAAGCTTATGAGGAAATCTTTAATTACATTCTCAAGCGTTTCAAGTTTTACTGTATATTCTCTAAAGCCCAGACCAGTCAGCTACATCCAGAAATGACTGTAATTTCTTCCAGAGCCCACCATCCCATGGATCAACCACATTGTGCAATAACACATTCGGCAGGGTTTAATTTAGCACTCCTTATTCACGACAGACTGTAAACATTTTTTTCTAAATCAGCTGTTAATTTGAGACCGCTCGGTTTCATGGTGTACATTTACATGACTCAGCGCTATGCTAATCTCTTGCCTGAAGATGTAAATATTTCTACAAAAAAAAAAAATGTCTGTGAGAAACAAATTTAAACACTCATTCACTTTGAGGGGGGGAAATAAAAAAACAGGTGTAGGAGTAAACATTTAAAAATACATCTGTCATCGACAAACCCCTATGAAAGTGTATGACTGTTGGCTTGGAAAGAACGTGAAATTGTGTAAAATATTACTCCTTGTTTATCACAGCAGTGCTTTCTAAATGAATGTCGGAACTGGATCCACACTGCCTCTCAGGTTTTTTTTTATCCCCCTTACAAATGAAGGCGTTTTAGTTTGGCTTTGACATCCTTTCTGTCGTCGTTGAAAACAACAGCTCTTTTTGTTTGAGCCAGTGAACAGATGAAACAAGCCTTCCCACGTGGAACATCGTTTAGTCAGCAAGGGAACCCATTTAAGGGATAGGTTGACAGCTTGACAAGTCGCTCCTAATAGGGACCGTTGTGGGATTCCACAAGTGGAATAGCTGCAGTATTTTTATGTTTATACACCCTATATAATTTTACTTTATACAGTGAGTTACAGACATATGGCCTTGAGTACAATTGTTGCTGAAACTCTCAAACTCCATCTACAGATGGCAGATGAGCTTTTGTTTTATAAATGTGGATTTGCTATAAAATTCAGAATAAATGAAACTACTTATTTGATCACACACAAAAAAAAAAAAAATATTGTGTAATTTATTTAACCCTGTTCTGTGTTGTGTATAATTGGAAATAATTTACAAAATCATAACCAGATTTTGGGTCAAAGTCTATGAAAGAACCTCAGCATCCTTCAGAAGTTGTCATTTAAAAAGTACAGCAGCAATCTTATCAGACTTTGCACCGAGACACGTAAATTGGTGGCCATTAACTATTTTAATATTGATTAGACTTATTTGAACAATAAACAAATACATTTGTTATGAAATGATTCTATATGTATGCATGTATGCAGTATATAAACTACTAGATGTATACAAGTTCATACAAGCCCCAAAAAGTAAAACCAGAGGTTTTCTACAACATGTTGAGACGTCTGTGGCTCATTTATCCATCTGACCTCTGTCTGTCATGGAGCACTGGAATTAAAATATTGGCTGCCTACAAGAAAGTTTTGACCTAAAGTATGCAGGTAGTTGTGTCAGTAAGCACTATTTTACACAGTTTTTATGTTAGTATTATTAGACATGTCAATCTGAAGAATACAGACTCCTGGGTGAAATTTTTTTATATATTTTTTGCACAATGTCTTTGATTTTCAGACTTTAAAATCCTATACAATCTTCAGAGTTTTCTTAAATCTGCCCTGGGAGAAATGTGCAATTGTTTTATGTAATTTTTAAATGGCAATTGATTGCGTTGGACCTAATTAGCACCTTTCAATTTTTTATTTTGCAGTAACTTCTGCTTTTGTTTGTATTTTTCCTCTCAATTTTTTAGCGAGGATTCGACTCAATACTACTCTCTCTCTCTATGTATATATACATATATGTATATATATATGACAATTATTCATGAATTAACACAGAATTTTCTCAGTCCATATTTGACCCAGAACTTGGCTAGCAAAACCCTGTTTGTTTTGTTTTGCTATTCCAGCTTTTTTTTTTTCATGCAAAACATGAAAAACACAACATTTTAAATGCATTAAAGTGCTCCTTGTACAACATGAATGTTTAAATGCTCTCCACTCAGAAAATATGATAAGGACACAAATAGTTATGGCTTTTAAAGACTGAGTTCATTTAATCTCATCGCTTTATACATTTGTGATTAAACTTTAATAGACAAATATAAATGCAGATAATGAAGGCCTTCCATCAGCACCCATAATGAGCAGTCTTAGCATACAATAATGTCCTTTTCAAAATACTAGATATCATTAAGTTACATGAAAGAAAATGCTGTTTATATACATAGAGACTGGATTATACACACATTTGCAGGTGGACGCATGGTGAACACCCACGGTCAACAACATTACCTTAAATGAGCACAGAACCATTAACTTTTAGCTTTAGTTCTTTTACGCCATCAGCTTGAGGATTATACTGCGGCACCAAATGAAAGCTCCGTACGGCAGATTGATTATGGTCACAGATTATACCAACACACAGAACACTGAGAAGGCTTTACAGTCTGTAAGGTTTACACTAGCGCTGATAAGACAGAATGTAATCATCCTACATCCACACCGTTAAATTTGTGCTCTGGTCTTTCCTGTAAAGATTTTTGCCAATTCAAGGCAAAAAAAAAAAAAAAAAAAAAGTCTCTTTCTTTGTTGCCCTTGCTATATATACTTCATGCTCTGGTTTCTCTCCACAACAATTCATTTTCAGTCTCTTGTTCTTGTATTGATGTTGACTTGTTTTTTTATGTTTTTTTTTTTTGTTTGTTCGTTTTTTGTTTTTTTCCCTTTTAAGTGAAGAAAATCTTAGCAACAACTTCAGTTTTGGGGTTTTAATGAGACAGTCAATGAGTGGTCTTACCGGCGTTCTCTACAAAGGTCCTTTAGAAAGCCTTTTGCGCAGACAATACGTCACACAAACCTCAAACTCTGTTTTGAAATGTTATTAATTTCCTCCCATCTCGTCCGCTTTTACAAATTTCATTCAGCGTCAACTGTCACCAGTGATTTGGCCTTCTTATTAAGAGTCTCAGAAATGACACCTTCTGCTTTTGGGATCAGCTTGTGGATGCATGACCTCTTTTTTTCCTCCTCCTGGCAGTTCTACAAGACAAGCTGAGCCAAAATCAGAGCCAAAGCCGGGCTGGGAAGCAGAGCCAAGACGTTGGCATGCAGACAGGGAGAGCGATCCTCTCCCAGGGCCAGGCCACCGTTCCTTTCTTTACTAATCTGTGCAGATAGGAAGACACAGAGAGGAGGAGAGATTTGAAAAGGTTAGACATGACTCAGACACTTGTTCTGTTTTTTTTCCCCCTGTTTTCACAATTGATACGGGTATTAAGGATGTAGGATAGAGGTGGAAAAAAGAAGAGACTCCGACTGAGAAGTTATATTTATTAATGGAAGATTGTACTTGCCATGAACATCAATTTGATCAAACATATTTAAATTTGTTGCATGAAATAAAGTCTTATGTAAAAGTATTTGCCCTCATACGGACTTATTCTGGAGGAAACACAAAACTGTGACCTTCCTCTCGAGGGGCCAATCTATCAAAATTACTCCAAAAGAATATTGAGAGACAGAAAAATATTATTCATCCTGCAAAAATAAGGGTTCAACATAGAACTTCTTTGTGTGGTATTGGACAACTATTACATACAAAAATGCTGCAGTAGGAGGGAGCTGTGAGACTTCCTAAGAGTTCGGCTCTTGAGATCATGTGAAGTATAACATTTTCTGGTTAGAAAGAAGAAGAAAAAAAGAAAACAAATGTAAAACACTGCAGGCCTCACTTGTCTCAGTTAAAGTCTGAGTTCAGGATTTGACAATAAGAAAGAAATTGAGTGAGTTTTTAGTTCAGTATCACTGCTGACCAAAAAAATACCGTCTGACAAAATCTGCATGATCTTTTGGGAAGTGTTCTGTTTACTGAAAACACAAATGTGGATCTTCTTGGAAGACATATTCACACACATTTGTGTTTGGCTTTTACCTATCACCACATTTCAGACAGAAATTGTCCTACGATTTGTAGACAAACCTGGTGGTGCTAGTACGATTTATTGAACATGTTCTGCTGCCTGAGGACCTGAACAACTTGCTGCTATTGACGGAACCAGGAACTCTGCTCTCTACCTGAATATTCTTAAAGAAATTGACTGACTATCAGTTTGTAACATGAAGTTCAGACTCACTTGGGTTGTGCATCAGAGCAATGGAGGTAAACACAGCAGAATGTCCAGCTTTCACTAAAGGATGGCACAACCAGTTATTAGATTTAATAAACAAAGCTTTTTTGTTTTTTTCGCAAACAAAAAGGTTAGCTTTTCTAACTTTTTTCCTTGATGAATGAACTTTTCTTGGGTTATCTTTGATAACATTTTTCTGAGGATCTGAATCCTTTAAGTTTGACAAAAAAGAAAAAAATCTGAAAGAAATCTGTAAGACGACAAAACTTTTTTTACAATATTGAATCTCTCAGGCTTCTGCAGCTTAGTATGATCCTTTCTCTTTTAAACAAATTGGCAACAAAGTAGAGCATCTTGTGTGCATTTTCGTTTTTCAGTCCTTAGCTTGTGCCAGGAAGTCTCCAAACAGCGTTTAAAGCTTTCATCACCAACCTTATTTACAAGCAAAACATTCTACAAAGCCAAACTTACATTACAGGAGCCAGCAGCGGCTCAGAAATTTCAATATTTCATAAGGTCTACCTTACAGGATCTTGTGACTCCAAAAAAAAAAAAAAAAAAAAAAAAGAAAAATACTATTAACAGTGTATTATCTGAAATCAAAGCACTTCCTTTTTATGCATAGGAGACTTTTTTTTGTTGTTGTTCAGGGTAGAAACTAGAAAAGGTAATTCATAACACTGTAATCGTTAAAGCAGAGAAAGGTTAGAATGAGTTCAGATATTAAATTTCTTGGCCTCCAGAGTTTCCCTGTGTTACCCACAATGCAGTCGGCTCCGTTATGTGTTGCTTCGTGAAGCTGTTAGCATTTGTAATAATTTTGCTACCATTTTCAGGGATACTTGTAATATCAAACATTACCATTTGTCCTCAAGTTAAAGAAATCCTGGTCAATTTGTTGAGGCACCATTTTCAGTCCAGCAGAGCGTTGCAGCAGCACTTCATCAGGAACGTGAAACCGTTTCTGCTCCCCTCATTTTCACCAAAGCATCCCTTGCAAAGGTTACGCTGGTCCGTTTCTCCACATACAGAAAGCTTCTACCCAGATGTTTCCACCCATCTTACACCACAACAACATATCTCAGAAATGAGAAAGTGGTGAAATATATTAAGTAAAAAGAAGAGAAAGAGAAATAAAAGAGCCCTATGATGGTAGCTGAGTTCTATGTAAAGGTGTAGCGAAGAAAATGTTCAGTAAATTTATTTCAGAAAATAAATTAACTGAAAAAAAACATATCTATTAATTACACAGATAGTATGTTCTAGGGATTTATTTCAGTTAGTGTTAATTACAACAAAAAAACAAGTTTTAAACAAAATTTTACCATTTTACTATCTTTCGGAAATATCAGCCGACTGTATGTCTATGTGCTGTACACTATGTTGCTTTTGCATGAATTATCTTTGCACTGCCCAGGTTGAGTCTGCATTTTTGCCTCTGGTGTACTTGTTCTTCCTGTTGAACATAATCCATAGATTTCTTATTGGGTTTTAGGGCCGTTTGCTGGCCGAACACAGTGATAGCATTATTATTAAACCAGGTGACGGTACTGTTTGCAGTGTAAGCAGATGTGAATATGTTTGGACTTGATAGAGCAGAGTGGACCGTCTTCTGTTGCAATGGTTCATCTAGTCGTTTATGCAGAAACGTCCCAGCAGATCTGATGATGTGCTTCTACTACACTTTTCCTCAGAGATGTGATAACTTGATTTTCCAAACAAATGCAAAGCTGACTTTGACTTGAAAAAGGACTTTGGACCACTGAGGAACAGTTCTGTCACGGACTGGTGCAGGAATGCTTTCAAACTAGGAATTTGGTTAAATCTGTGTGGCAACTTTTTAAACTCTAGCTGCAACACTCAACTTGTGAATCTCTATGAAAATCTTCAAAAGTATTTTCTTTACAACCATGTTTGGCCTGCAGGCATATCCCTGAGGCTTGTGCATTTTTCCCCCCATCACACTTCCATTTACGTTTTTATCAGCCAGCTTCTTTAGCAATGGACACTTTCAGCTCATCCTTCTTGTCAATGGTGGCAATAAGTTTGCTGAACAACATCCCTGTCACGATGTAGGTTATGGCATGACCATAACAGAACATTGTCATTAAAGATAATTTCTTGGGAAAAAAAAACAAACATGCAAACATTTCTGAGTAGCCTGAATTGTGGGTTTTCATTAGTTCTAAATCATTATAATCTAAATTAATTCAATATGTCACTCTGTATGCAAGTAATTTGTGAGAATAAAAAAAAGAATAGAAATATCCTTCATTGTTCCACAATGGACAAACTTTCTACAAGCTGCATGAGTTGCACGACTGAAATAAGATTACTGTTCTGTTGTGCTCCAATGTATTGAAAATGCGCTTTTGTCCATTTTAGAAATTTAGCGCATGAAAAGAAAAACAAATATTTAATTACAGTTGGCCACTCCTTCATCCACTATAAATCTTCATTAATAGTTCTAAATCACTTATAGATAAATAGTATTATAAAATGTTACCACAGAGAAATGTATGCGGGGACAGCAGTGGGTAACTTGACAATGCACCAAACACATCCTCAACTAAAAGCCAATTAATTAGCAGGGGCAGTGATGTGTGGCAGCAGCCTGTTGACATGAGTCCAGATCGCTGTCTGCAGCCAATATCCACACATCCATACAGAGGCCTGGGAGAAGGGTAACACACACACACACACACATGCACACACACACATATTTACGGGTGACTGAACACGAGCAGGAGATGCATGCAAACACTGTGACAGAACAAAGCCAGCTTCATGCACTCATTCGCTCATATTTCGTCAACCACATGAAAAAACATAAATAAATGGGTTTCAAATATTTAAAAGGTGCATGCACAAACCGCTCAGGTTATATGTGATTTTTCATCGAACCAGCTCCTCCTGCCGAGATCAGTTTTTATTGTCAATCAGTTCATTTTCAAGTTTACAGTAAACAGGGCTTTATTTCCCCAGGCAAGTTATTGGGTAATCGAGTTACGTAGCTGCTGTCCACGCTCCGTTCCGTTCAGCAGAGCTTAAAATAAACAAAGGTTACGAGGGAGAGCAGACAGCTGCAGCTTCCCAGAGGGTCTACGAGTATAAGTGCTGTAAAAAATTTCTCATTTCAACTCATTTTTAAAGACACAAGAATTCCTTAAAAAAAAATATTAAAAAAATAGTCTTTTTGTCTTAAATTTGATCTTACTGCGCACAATGTGATTCCTAAAGGTACACAGCTGCTATCGATTTCCATTGTCAGACCTGGATTCAATTTTGTTTGAGTGCAGTTTGTTTAAATAGCACCAATTCATAACAACGTTAACTTGTGGTGCTCTACAAAAATAAACAAAGGCTATTTCTCATTATGTAAAATTAACTCTTTGTCTGTATTCAATTCATGGCCCTCAGTTCATTCTCATGCAACACAATCAGGCAGTCTGCTTTGGGAATAGATTATAATTCAATCTAAGTTACATCCAGAGGTGGAAATTAGCACTGGCTATGAGCCGATGTATGTTTATGAAGTGGCAGCAAAATTTGATCAACTCAGAAGCCACAAAGACAGGTTTTCAATTTAAACTGAACTTAGTTCAATTTCTACAGCTGAGCTGTAGGGGGCAACAGGCAGGGATCAGCATTGTGTTCAGGTTCGCTGCACTCAATTGAATTCAGATAAGGACTACGGATCTGAACACAGCGCAGCACGCTAGCATAACACAACAAAAACACAATGTCATTTGTTTGGCATTCCTGCAAACTCGTGCCTGTACAAAGTTCCTCAGCAGAGACAGTCGTTTGTTGTCATTTTGGGAAAAAATGATACAGGTTTCGACATTTGCAGTCCAGAGTCATTGAAGGTAGATATCAATCAATCAAAATCATTGTTGTCATTATTATCAGTGCTTAATAATACCGATAAAATACGTACACTCTTTTAATTGTTATGGTTCACAACGAAGGTGTGAGCTTCTTTTTTTTTTTTTTTTAAGTTACAGAAGTATCTATATGAAAATGTTATATTAATAAATAAATCCCATTGAAATTATTATTTCTTTCCATTAAATTGTTAAACGTTATTTGTTAATTACCTAACTAATTGTAGAAAGATTTTCCATGAAAGACGGCAGCCTTGTAGAATTCAGGAAAATATAATGGAATTTGAGAGAAATGAATAAATTCACAAGGATCTACAGTGCACGTGTTTAGCATAGCATGTTATTCAGTTTCCTTAACAGGGTAGTTCTTTCTATATTCAAGAGTAGATTACTGCAGATTTTTCAGTGAACAAAATTATTTTTTTTTTGTAGCCAGTGCAGAATTTGTAGTTTTGAGTGCCTGGTATGGAGCCAACTTTGCAGCATTCCCTCATTCTGAGCAATCATGTGGTAGAATGATTTATCTTTAATATATCTGAATTATATAGCATAACTGACAGAAGAGGATCAATGTTTTACACATGTACAAAAGCAGACATAGCCTTCTTCCTCTTGGCATTACCCAAGTATGCAAATCATTTGACAGAAGAAAGCAGCACCAAGCCTACTATTCCTTACTGCAGACAATAATAGTGTCTCCATTTTTTCCCCAACCATCTCATCATTCTTCAAACGCATGCAGACAACATATCAGCCATTCATATCTTCTTGTAGAACATGAAACATTCCACAAAGCTTTGTTTGATGCCGTCTTTATTTTCCTTCTTCTTTTTACTTACTTTATACCAAACCAAACTCCAAGCTTTTATGTTGAATGTCTGACCTTGGCAATGTCCTTTTGCTAACCCATCTTACAGTTAAAAGAAGACAAAGAAAACAAAGACCTTACGATAGAGAAGCCACAGTTTCTATGGCATAAACGCATTCGATAAAGCTGAACAAAATTTCCTCAGAAATAAAGAATATTTCTTGTTATCATCTAAATGGGATTGTACAGTCCTAGTTTAATGATAAATGCGCTGCATTTGTACAACGCTTGATCAAGTCTGAGGACTCCAAAGCGCTTTACTGTATAATCAGTCATTCACCCATTCAAACACACATTACTGGACCCACCAGTTATTGGACGAATCCCTATCTGTCAATTCTCCAACATAGTTTAACAACGTTGAAGTTTGCTGATAGGCCGGGTATAGATCAGGAGTTTAAGGGTTTCACTTATGATATATTTTATGGTGCTAAGCAAAGTCAATAGTCCTCTGAAGTGCTTAAAGCTTTTCTGCTCAACAAAACATATTGCGTCAAAATTTCTATGGGTGTCAAGTGTCTGTTATACACATGAAAAAAAAAAAAGAAAAGAAAAGTTAAAACCCTTCAATAAAACACTGGAACAAGAAATTAGGCTCAACGGTAAAGTCTGCTTCGAGAACTTTAAACTTCTAGGAAGAATTATTGTTTTGTTTGTATGAATGAAGATATTATGACATTTAAAAACCTTAAAGTGAACTCTGTCCAGCCGGGAAAAGAGGCTTAGTCATGCATGCTGAAAATCAATCGAAGCTCATTTGGAAGCACCCTTAAAATACTCAAAGGACTGCGCTTCAGCCCACATGTTTACTTTCTAAATGCTAAAGCCAACAACAACTGACACTGACATTTGAATAATTATGCAACTGTATTGGCTGAAGATATTGTAAAGCATATAAAGGAGCCAAATGAGTGACATAGAGAGCCCTGGGCTGCAGATTAGCATATACTCTGTAAAAAAATGATAAAGTCTGTCCATCCATCAAACATCTGGCGCGCACTTTTACCCATATCATTTGTTGTTATGTGTCCACATACAGATGCCTTGTGTTACTACATTGTGCTTGCTGGTCGGCGTAAGATTTACAGCTTTGGACAGGCTTTCTTTTGCCAAGAGAACTCATACCATAACAACACTCCCCCAATTTATCTGCCATGGAAGTTTGACAGGTTTTAATTGCCAGCCACAGTTGTCTAAGAATACGGGGCCGCCCAAAATGTCCCTAACAGCTCCCTCTCTAATTATAAACTTCCTGCTTGAGTAATCACATGTCTTATTGTTTCCTAATTACCATTTTTACAATAAATTAAACACCATGCTGCAGTGAGACAGGCACTGAGCAGTGCATCAATACTGACACACACAAACCTTCCCAGAAAGCACCATCCATTCTCACTCTTCCACCATGTCTCCAGCACATATCCCCCAAACATGCTGTTGTTATCGGAGGTGCTTGTTCATTAATTATCCTCTTTGCAATGTTTTTTAAGGTTTTAATTTGCTGTTGTTCCGACGATGAGGGTTTGCGTATTAAGCACAACAATAAGTGCCTCAGGTGAAGTGTGACCATTTAATGACTACGATGTGATATGTCTTAATGGGAGTCAGTCAATCAGCAAACAAATTTGCATTCATAAACACTTCGCACTGCTTGGGTTTAAATCTGCAGCAGTCACTGAAAAAAACAAAAAAAAACAAAAACGAATGACACGAACAATAACAACAGCGGCGGCGGAATGCTTTACAAAGCATTGTTTTATGATGCGCCTTCTAATTCTGCCAAATTGGGTAAGAGGGTCTCCTGCAAAGGTGAGCTGGGTCATTAGTCACCTGCGTTGCACATCTAAAACACATCTGCGAAATGCAACTATATTTCATTGTGAGAAATAATCAAATCTGACAGCCAGCTCCTCTTGGCTTGAAAGTGCAGGGTGAAATATTTCTTTCCCATTCAGGAGAAACAAAGTGAGGGGAAAAAGGCAGTCTGCCACAGACAATGTGCTGCTGTCATCTTCATGTTCATTTGAAGTGGGAGATGAAGAACGGTTCTATTAAAAGACAAACATTTATTCATTTCTGCAGTACTGCAACATTTGTTTGTTTTTTTTTCTTTCTTTTTCAGATAGACCAGAGAAGCCAGTTTAAGTGGAGTTGATGGAAGTCTTCAAAGTAGATGGAATTAAACAGACTGCAGGCCCTGGGCCACTACTTTAGAGCCTATAATCCAGATTAAATCCTGCATCGTTCAGTTCTTTTTTAACTTTCTATTCTTTGGGATAAAATATGATATTTCAATTGGATGTCATCATTCGGGGGTAAAGCCAAATGATCTTATTATGAAATGCCTTTTAAAAATGCTGATTGCTTCAACAGATGTCAGGATTGTAATGTGAACGGCGATTTATGTTGAGTTCTTGAGTTGTATAATCGTGCTGAAGACCCTGTTAGGGATTCCTTACAACACAGCAGCACACCATACAATTTTTTTTATAAAGCACTTTAAAGAAACATCAAAGCTGTCCAAAGTGTTGTGAGGCTCAACATAAAAGACACCTCCAAGAGAACATAAAGAGAACAAACACAGAATATCTACAAAAGGTAATGAGAAGAATATGAGGCAAGTAAAACCAAAAGAACAAAAGATAATATAAATATTGGTCACTGGCATTTTCTCAGATTCTTTAGAAGCAGTGAGAGTAAAAGTGTGTTTTTAATGGAGATTTAAATTCAACAAGTCAATTCATCTCTTGAGTTTGCAGCTGCTGTGCTGACATAGTAGGAATGTGATCAGAGTCTGCAAAGGGGCCCAACATTGTTAGGATATTTAAAAACAAACAAAAGATAGCAACATTAAAGACTAAAGTTAATTTGAAGTCAATCTGACGTGATCAGCCTGATGGCTCCATATTGGCACATATTTATTTACTCAGACTGGTAGCTCAAATCCACAAGAAACTAAACCTATGTGTGCAATTTTCCTGACACTCTGATCCCCACTTAAAAAAAAAAAAAAAAAAAAGAAGAGAGAAATATATGTACTTTAAAAAGAGATTCACTCATTCCCCTCGCTCTCTGCTTTTACAGTCGACTCAGTTCCAGATATTCACATAGATGAGGTTGTTATCGTGCTGCGTTTAATTGCGTTTAATTTTTCTGCTGTCCCCAGTCGCTCTGCGTAGATTCAGGAAACTCAGAAAACGCAGTTTGTTTGTTTTTTTCAATGCATAGATAACTGACTATAACCTCATGGTATCTATGCACCAAACCCCCCTCCCCCCCAAAAAAAACTTGTGTTTTCTGAGTTCCTTGCAACCATATGTGGAGATTGGGGAGAGGACAGAAAACACACACGATAACTACAAGTACAAACACACATGTACTGTACATGGATGACGTCAAGCTGCATAAAATTTTCGCCAGTACTACCACGTTGTCTGATCTGGAGTATACATACCTATATTAGGTAGAAAAATAGAATAAAAAAGCATGAATTCTCATGTCTTTCTCTCAATCTCTCTGCCTCTGCTTTTAAGGAGAACTTAGTCCCAGGAACAGGAAAGCTGCAACTTCACCTACGTAGAGTCACAAATTCACCTGCTCAAATGCAGTGACAATGATCACTAGACCGGCAAAGGTTACTAACACAGACCAAAGGCAGAAAGATGATGACAAGAGGAAAAGAGGAAAATGGAACTGAGGGACTGGTAAAAATATGAAGCAGTTTTTTTTTCTTTTTTTTTTTTGCTGTTTTTTTTTAACAACTTTTCCTGTTTTTGCATGAACAGCCAGATGAAAGAGCATGCAAAACTTGAGAGATTACAGAAAATACAACATTCATTTTTATAATTCAGTGATTGTCATTTAAAATGCAGTGTCATTGTTTATTCTTCACATGTACAACACGCATGTTAACCACCATGGACAATGACTTCACTCAGCTCATGACATTTGTGTTCCAACACTGATGTGAATTGCATGTTTTCATTCAGTCATTTAATTTGAGTAGGAACTGTCTATTCTCTCCCCCTCTATTTTTGATTAAAAATAAACCAGACTTTTGTTTTCATGTAATTTGTGGGTGTGTGTCTGTCATATGTGCAGGCCAGTCAGTGTGTGGGATGTTTTGTGGGTGGCATATTTAGCTCCTTATGCCGAGCTGAGTCCAGTTCTGGCTCAGAGATTAAATGTGGTTTAAGCAGAAAAACTTGCTAAATGTCCCCACAGACTTAAATAATGCTTCATTTTATCCTCGAAACAAAAAATTAAGCAAGAACAGCTATGTTGTTTGCTCACATTAGCATGCCTAAGCAAAGTGATAAATAAAAATCATAATGAATTTTCGAAATATAAACATATGATAAATCACTACACATATCGGTCTGGGTCACATATTAAGTCTCCAGGTGCCAGCTGCTCAGTCAGCTTCTCAGTCTTCCCAGTTTTGTTGCTCATACACTCCCTCGTGTGTCCTGACAACAACATTATTTTCCTCCTCGTTAATATCCCGGCGTGTGTCTGAAATAAATCCTTGAAGTATCCTGGCTGTTTGCCTCATTACTTACTTTTTTAGCAGAAAGCGATTAAGCTGCCATATGGACAGTCAAGCTCTCTATGCTGCCCCCAGGTAGAAACCTTTGGTCAATTTTTAGGTACTTGAGTTTCTCTCTCAAATGTTTAAATAGTTTTTTTCCCTAATACCAGCACACTAATTGTTTAACTTGCTATGCACAAAATATCAAAGGAGGTTTACAGTGACACAGCCTTTGATAAGTGCTCTAACTCTAGTGGTCAAAGCAAACCAGTGGCTACTTTATTACAACCTCTCCTTTTTTTAAATGAAGATCAACACACGTCTACCTTAATTAAATGCAATGATTTTTAGTCTTGCCTATTTTGAGAGAGAAATAGACCTTAGTATTGATAAAATTCTATATATTATTTTTATTGTGGAACATATGTCCAGTCAGTATAAAGGATTCATTTGTTTAAAACCCTTTTTGAACATCTTCCCAGTTCTGTATTTCTCAAGAAAAGGATTTGAAGAGGAGTAATAAATGTTTAAAGTACACATTTATTTGATTAGGAACTGTTTATTCTCTCCCCCTCAATTTTTGATTATAAATAAATGTGTACGTAAAGTACACATTAATTTGGATATCAAGTCTTTCCTCCTTACTAACACTTACAGTCCCTTTAAAAACAAATCTTAAAACGTGCATAACAAACGTGTGTGATACCTACATACTCAAAGTATTTCCCGTCACACCTTTTTTCCGATCTCCACATTTAAATCTTGCGCATCATCTAGCAAATTTTAATATGAGATAAACAGGCCTAAATCAATGGATTGATAAATGGTTGCTGAATCAGCAAAGCACCATAAGACCAAGGCAGTGCAACGACAATGTTTGACATGTCTGATGTTCTTCTGAAAAGCTGTGGTACAGATACAGCGGAAAAAGTTCTACCCGTGTCACATAATTCCAAAGAATATGTTTTATTTAATTTTTGCCTTTAATAAATTTAATCAGAACTTGAAATTGGCTTTACTCAGGCAATCTTTGGTACTAAGAAAAATTGTTGATGAATTGAAACCTTTAAGATTAGTGTCGAGAAAAAGCACATGTATGTGGACAAATACTTTTTATTAGCAATCATTGTAAAATACTCACTGCAGGGGAGGAGGAAGGGTTCGGGTTGGGGTTTTCTGGGATGCTGTCCATCCATTCGTTGATTGCTTTTGATGTGACTGACGGCTCGGAGACGGTCATATTTTTGATCGCCGTGTCGTCCATCCCATACGCCTGAATAGCATTTCCTGCAGGGACAGAGAATAAAGTAATTTGTTTCGGACTTCCATCCCAGCAAGAAGCCCACAAGCAGACGGACAGTTTTAAGTCATCTTCTTCGTCCCCTGCCCAGTCGCTTTCATCCCAGGGAATGAGGCAGGGCAGAAGAACAGTAAGGAAAGGAAAGAGTACAAAACAAGGAGACAAAAAGTTTCAGATTACTATTTTTTTGTGCTTGTCAGGTGTGTGTCAAACTGTTGACATCAGAAAAGAGCTTTTAAAAACCTTTATGTGAAAGATCGTTCAAAATTATACTGGCTACACAAAACACAAATATGAGCTGATGGATGATAATGTTAAGATTTTATTTCCACAGCCTTAAATGTTTGTCTGGTTTATTTAGCAAGTAATTATCCTTCTATTAGAGCGTCCTGCAGAGACAAATTGACACTTTTGTCGAACGTAGACAACTATGGCTCCTGGTTTCTGATCATTACAAAACTGCTTTTATGTAACAGCTGCTCTGCTCACTGCAACAGCACAAGAAAAGAGAGGATCCCCACACTTAAGATGATGAACTGTTTTTGTTCCCTCGCACACAAGTGGAAACTGAATTCACAGAAAGTTGCAAATCAGTCGGCTTCGCGCAGAGCATGGCGTAGTGAAACAAACATTTGAGTATCTAAGCTGAAAGACTTACTGAACATGTGTGTAATTGTGCAAGTATATGAGCAAGTCTGCAAAATCGCGATACATCCTCGTACAGTCAGCTACTCCAGCTAGATGCAGCACCACGGGGCTGAGTACCTTTCCATTGTACATCCGTTTAAAATACAAAGCCTTTTGCTTTTTTCTCAGCCAGAGAGAAGGCAAAGCATGAAATTGCTTGGCAACCACCTTCTTTATAAGGCCATTGTGCAAAAATGATTTTGAATAGACTTGTGTCGCCGATCAAATTCAAAACATCTCCAAACAAGGAGAAATGGCATTTGTTCCAAGATAGCAGGGTAATGCATGTTAACAATCAAATGGCCACATAGGCCTAAAACTCCTGATCTCATAGGCTTGTATATCAAGATGCCTGCCTACTAACACTTACAGTATCTTCTAAAATATGTCACAGTTACAATCTTCACACCACTGTCACGTTCGTCACATAAATAATTATATATGCGCACACATTTTATCGGGACTGTATGTGATAAAGCAACAGGTTTTTACAAAGACAAATCTGAAAAGTTTGGCATGCATGTGTATCCAACCCACTTTTTTACACATCCATTAATGCTAAAATCACAAATTGGCCTCAAAGTTGCCTTCAAAGTCCGTAGATGTGCAAAGCTGTCAGAGACATACCTCAAGGCCTGCAGTGGTCGTTGCAGCAAAAGGAAGTTCTGCAATTTATTAAATCAAAGGGCTAAATGCATATGTTTGAAATTTACTATTTAAACATTTAAAAAACATGTTTTTTATTTCTTCAAAATGTGAACTACTTTGTTTTAGTTTACCCCAGTTTATTTGCAGTTTGTAGTCACTACGTAAGAAAATGTGGAATCTTTAAAATGGTATAATCATTTTTACAAGGAACAATAAAACATACCAAAAAAAAAAAAAGCAACACACTCTTAAAAGCCACTGGAAAAATCAAAGCTTGACAAGAAGAGAATCAAGAAAGCCAATTACGCTCAAAGCAAACAGTAAAGAGTTGTGGTGAGAGCTGAAAGGTGTGTCGTTACTGGTGTGTTTGCCAGGATGCATTAAAGCTAACGCTGTCCCCACAGATTCTTTAAGAGGGATGAAGTCATAAATCAAAGTGGCTGGATCTCCCATCCTCCAAATACTTTTTGGACCCTAAGCTGTGAAGCTTGTTGCGATTGCAGTTCAATTCCTTAATGATTCTGGACAAGATTTCCTTTCATGCTGGTCATTGTCCTGTCTGCAGACATCGAAGCAGCAAAGAGATAAGAGATTGGAGAACAAGAAAAAAAAGAATTAAAGACAGAGTGAATCAGTATTTGGTCTCCACACTGATTTTTTTTCTTTCTTTCGCTGGCTCAAACAAAAAAAGCGAAAAGGTGAAACATTTTATGATTATTTCAAACTTAGTAATTAGTGGAAACCGGTGGCCCTGTATAAATAAAAACACTGATATAGAACAAAATCTTGACGAATAACAAAATCGTTTTGTAACGCAGGCATGTCTTAACAACTCCAAACGTTTTTGCTCATCTATTATAAAATTAAACCACAGAATGTAAATATTACACCTTGAGCTGTTGTGTTTGGCTTTATTTGATTAAAAAAAGAAGACAATCAGGATTATCGCCACAATCCGACTCTAGAAGATTAATTGATCTGTTCAGGGCCGCATGAGGAGGAGCTGGAGCCGATCCCAGCTGTCATCAGGCCAGAAGAAAGATACACTCTCGATAACTGCCAGGTCATTACTGCTACAGTGACAAGTAACGAGCACCAATTAACACATGCTGGACATAGGAAAGACTGAAAAAAACATAGTAGAAATATCTAATCTCCACAATACCAAAGAGAGAGTTAGTTTAACAAAGTGAGCAGCTCACTAAGAAAGCTATGAAAAGGTTTTGCCTTATGGTTACAGAGATCTGCCATAGAGCTTAGGAGGACTCTTACTTTACATTCAGATTTAAATGATCGTAAACTAAGTAAAAACATGACTTTATTTCAGTAAAAAATATCAATTTGCTTACATTTTTACCCTTATAACATGTGTTTTTCCACATATGCATGACAACTAAGGAAACTGTGCGACTGCAGCTTAAGAATGTCTTGTAGTTTTCCGAAGTCAGTATCCGATTTGTATAGTGACCTGTTCATAATTCAAACTTTTAAATACTTATACTGTTCAAACTGAGATTAAAACACAATTTATGACTGTGTCTAAACACCAAAACTGAACAATAGAAATGCTATTTCACTTATAGTCTTCTTTGGTATTGGGATGCAATTGACAGCGGAAGGAAAGGGCCATTTCAAGTAACTTGCCTTTTTTTTTCTAATTTATTATCATATTAATATTTCATATTAAATATTCAATCAGACTATCTGAAACTAGACATATATAATTCTGTACCGAAGAGGGTTTCATAAAAGTAAGCTGTGATCTATGAAAATGCTACTTGCTATAACAAAACTACTTTCTGCATTAGGATTATCTCCTTCTACAAACCCGCAAAACCAAGAGCAGCATCTTCAATTGATTCTCTTCAGCATTATTTAAGTTATTTCATACTTGTTTCCTTCTACTAAAGTTCATACTTTCTATAATTCTTTTTAGTGCTGATTGAGCCCAAGGAAGTAATTTGATTTTTTTTCTCCTCTCTATTCTGGAGTGGTCAAGGATAAAAAGGCGGTGATCATTAGATAAATGTAATAACGCCTCTGGTCTGAGCGTGGTTTAATGAGATTTAAGGATGTTAAATTAGCAGCATGCTAGAAATTACCTGCAGAGAACCCACACTGAATATGCAAGTGTATCTCTTTGTGAAGGAAATAGAAAGAGACAGTTAAAAAGGCACTTAGAAATAACAGCTTTATCAAAACAGCCGTTATTTCGAGTAAATTAAGAAACTTTAAAGCCAAACAAGATAAGAGCATCAATTCTATGATGTGACCTTCAGCGAGTGTAACCTCTGTTGTAGATAAAGAAAGGTTAAATAAGTCCAAGGTGTTAGGGAGAATGGGAATGGCAAGACATGAAAAATAAAGTCAC